AGTCCAGAAGAAAAAGAAAAAAGCTGCCAGCTGCCACTGCTCTGCAGACAGCATTATTTATACCAGGAACTTGACCTTCCAATGCAGATCTTGAATTCTCCCCCTAAAACAGCAGTATTCAACAAAGGTTTCTTCACCATCAAGATATTCTACTCTACAATGACTCTGCAAGGCACAAAACATCCAGTTGAGTGTTCTGGCAGTGTAAAGCTTTGATAGCATCCCTGCCTGCTTGAYGGATCACTTTACCATGATCTTTTACCAAAGCAAAAAAAAATAAAATAAAAAAAATAAAAAAAAATCACAAAGCAATGACATTAACAAAGGGGCCAGTTTTTGTTTTRAACTGACATGTCAGACCTAGAGTACCACAGAAAACATGGCAGAGCAGAGACATCTCTGTGGTCAATATCACTTTAAAATCTCATGCTTTCAAATTAGCATTCTCTCCTACCATGCACTGAAATATGTGGTCATGAATTCTGGTTTTGTAGACCATATGACCATATATTCATCTATGTGTATACACACACAATTTTCATAAACCTACACCACCATCAGGACAGGTAAATACTGTTACAAATTTAATAGTCCTTAAATTGGGCCTAYAAGTAATAATGACAGAAGTCAAAAACCCACAAAAGACATTTCAGAGTGTTAAGTAATRCTTCATGCTGCACACAAATAATATTTAAGATATTTAGCTAACAAAAATAAAATATGTTCAAAAGGACTACCCATGCATSCAGGACTCTGCCATTCAAAAGACAGCATGCTATTTTGAAAAAAAAATGTAGTATGAAATGTGTTTCTGAAAGAGAAACTAACAAAACCTAGCTGGTACACAGAAGCCTGTGTTGCATTCCAGGAGTAACAAGTCTGAAAAAAAAAAATTACAAAGTAAACTATTCTTCCTACAGCAAAAATTAAAGGATCTTTAACATCCCTTCCAAATCAGGGTAAACAAGAATTCATTTAAGATATACACAGTTTAAATGCATAAAATTCAGCACCAGAGTTTGGACTTCAGCTTGTCTTTCTAGGGAGATAYTACAGAATCCTGGAATATCCTAAATTGGAAGGGATCCACAAGGAAAATCAAAGCTCAACTCCTGGTCTTGTACAGGACCACCCCAAGGGTCAACACCATGTGCTTGAGAATCCGAGAGATCCCCAAGACCATCCGAAAATCCCTGAAAGACGCCTTGTGAAGCCATCAGCTAACTCTTCAGAGTATTCTCAGATTAATGCCATCAGGCCCCTTGGATTCTTGGGTTCTAATACTCATAGAGGCTACACCAGGAAACACTCACATGAGATAAACACTCGCATTTCTCTATCAAATTGGCAAGCAGCCTCAGATGTGCCATTTTGCACTCACCAAGTTGCTGCAACAACAGTCTGGCACCTCTCTTCAACTGGTCCCTTACTGTCTAGTAAGATTCCGGTTTGGATCTTCTGTTTTGTTATTGTTGTGGTGTTTTGGAAAATTTAGTTGTTTTGTTTCTTCTAGTCATCTCCAAGTGGCAGCAGCAGCAAGACTGYTCTGCACTGGGCTGCAGCAGCCACAGGAAGAAACATGCTGCCCCTGAGGTGGCAGACACAGCCCAGCTGTGGCAGAGGGCAGACCATGACAAACAGAAGGTCTCAGATGGGCTCTTACCAGAGACCATGTCTTGGAATGTGCCAGCCTATCTGAAGAGACCCATAACACCATGGCYACATTTCTAGCAACACACAGAACCATGTGCATTGCTGGCACCCACTTAGGCCTGCATATTCTCCAGTCAATCTTCTGATTATAATTGGAACTCATTAAGCCCCTCCACCAGTGCCAGCAAAAGTATAACTAAGTATTTTTATTACTGTCTTTTAAGGACACGTTCCTAAGCACCTAAATAATTTTTAATTACTTACATCTGATAAGTTTTATATACAAATTATTATTTTGGATCCACAAGTAAGGGATTAATTCATTACTGATCAGCATATTCAGCAAACTATACCTGAGCACTTCTATTAAGAAAAGCATTTAAAAGAAGGCAACGTTTGACCAGCATGTGTCTCACTCCTAAAGACACTTGACTAGAAAATACTTCAGATGTAGCATTACAGCAAAAACTGAATTTATATCACTTATATATTCTATATATATTTTTATATACATTTTATATTAAAAATACATACAAATATATAAATACTAAGAGGTTGATATATATCTCACAGCAGTGGTTTTTTTAAGACCTCTGACCTGCAGGACAGACAAAGCTGATACCAGGAGAAAGAAGCTTCATCCTCTTACTTGGAGGGAAAGCCTGGCTAAAAGATGCGRCATCAGTGTCCTTGGACTTTAGAGCTATAAATACAAATAAATACACTTTTAAKTAGTGTTGAAAACGGATTCGTTGGTGTATTCCTGCTTTTAAAATTGATTTTTATAGGAATTCAATACTTGGTACAGAAGACCCTACCGAGCCAAGACATAGCGGGTTTATGCAAGTGCACTGCTGCCCTCTCCTGGGTCCCGATTCGCTCCCGTACTTACAGCGGACTCGGAAGGGGAGCTGCACCTCCAAGACCGTCAGGACTGCTTTGGGAGCTCGAGATTTAAACTAGACAAAGTGAAAAAGTAAAGAAGTGAAACACATGCAATACAGAATAAACGCAGGAAGTTATTGATCGTTATACAAATTGCAACAATTCACCACCTCAATTCCCTAAATTCTYCAGAAGCCTTTGTTTAGATTAAAGACATTTTTCCTAATATATATTAAATAATTTTTTTTCCAAAAGGGCTGCCAAGCATTGGGACAGGCTGCCCAGAAAAGCAGCAGAGTCATCATTCCTGAAGATACTTAAAATATGTGTAGATATGGTACTCGGGGACATGGTTTAATGGTAGACTTGGCAGTGTTTGGTTAATGGTTGGACCCAACCATCTTAAAGGCCTTTTCCAACCTAAACGATTTCACGACCTAATGTCAGAGAATCCGAAAGTGATCTTCTACATTAACAGTGGAGCCTGCGGGACAGCGAGACTTTCTGAAAACTAAGACAGAAAGTCAAACAGCAACTTTCATTTTGACACTATTACTGCAGGACTGCTGCTGCTCATAATGCAGAGCAAGCACAAAATTACAGAYTCTTAAACTGCTTTGACTTCAGCAGTATTAGAACAAACACAAATTCTGCTATTAGACATAATCCTGGTTTTGATTACCTTGCATTAACCCAGGACAATCCATGGACCCAGATACTCTGCAGAGAGCAAGGTAACAAAYTTATTTTCTTTATCCATAGAGGGAAGAAGGAATAGCAGTAAAGTTTTTAAATTGTAGCAAAAAGCAGTAAGGTAGCACATCAGGAAACCTTTCAGTGAGAGATAAAAATAAAATAATCAGAATAAACAAAACCAAAAGGCTTTAAGAACAGATTAGACAAGCAATTGCTATGGAACAATGTATGGGTGAATGTGTGCATTTTATTTACATATTTGTACATTTTATGTAAATGCATACATGCATTAAATGTACATACAGACCAAGTACCAATAACACACAAACCAGCACTCTGAAKCCAGTGACAGTATTAGCAACAACACTGGCAGTGACAGTATTATTAAAGACAATTAGCATCACCACTATTAGCCGCTGATGCAGCCCTTTCCGTAGGTAYTTTTCTCCTGTTACAGTATTAAAACTCAAAATTATCTTGTGAAAGCTAAAGATCGCTATCACTGAACCAGAAAGAGAGACAGACYTAATCAACAAAATATGCCTTGGAATTAGACCATGCTGGTCGTCTGCCTTGTAAAGACAAAGTAGAGCTCACAAACGATATATGCAAGCCACAGGYGATTTCTCCAGCTGTTTCGTCCTTAAGTAAATACTTTACAAAGCTATTTTAACTCTATGCATTTTGAACTAAAACATTGATCATGCAAGTGRGAAACAGAAAATATTATCTCCCAAAAAATTACTCTCCTGCCAAGTAAGACAGCAAACTTGTGCAAAGTCTAAGCACCCAAAGCAACGAAAATCCATTGCCTATGTTCCCAGACATTTATTTATTACAGCAACCAAAAAAMCCCCAATCTTTTCGGAAGCAAAAAGGCTAAACCCCCTAATCTTTCCACAATTCTTTTGTTAACTATAGTTTTTGTTTGTCTGTTTGTTTTAACCTTAATCATTCATTAAATGAAAACTTTTTTACAATACTGTTTTAACTTTTTTTTTAACGACTAGATCCTATACAAGGAAGGGGAAGTCTACTGTACAAAAACTGCTTAAGGATACCTTTAATAAATTATTAAGAAGAGGTTTATTACTCTGACTGCAAGGAGATGGTAACTACCACTGCCCTTCTGACCAACCGAGTTSTTACTGACCTCTGCAGCCCCGAGCTTTCCCTCGCACCTTGCGGCTCAACACCACCCACCCGTTTGCTGCCCAGGAAAAGGCTCCAAGTAAGAAAAAAATGAAGCATCAAGAGGCTTCAGCGGCGAGACTCACTTTAAAGACAACATTATCTTTTCTAAATTCTTGATAAATTCAGAGAGGTTATTAACAGCCTTTAGCTGCCCACAGCCAAAGGATGGCTTCGAGGGAGCTAGAGACATAAGGAAGCTGCGGCACCCTTTCGGTGTACCCTCAAAGCATGCCACGTCCCAACAATCCTTCTTCTTCCACCCTGCGTTGCTCCCCTACCGTGCTACGCGACCCTGTCCGCCCGCGCTGCTTCCCTCCCCCGCTAAGCGCCCCCTTTCCCTCACACCCGCCATGCCCTCAGCGCCGCGCCCCGGCCCCGCCCCGCCCCGCCCCGCCCCGCGCGCGGCGCACGCGCCCGCCCCTCCCCCTGCGGTTGGCCGAGCGAGCTGTCCGTCAAACTGCACGCGCGGCTGAGCGCCAATGAGAGGCGTTCCTGCGGCCGTGGGCGGAGCGCCGGCGGGAGCGCGGACGCGGCGGGGTCGGCGCAGGGCCMGGCGCGGTGAGGGACGGGCGGGCCCCAGGAGAGGCGGTGGGGCGTTTGGTCGTCACTGCCCTTGTACCTTCCGGGTTTTGCCTTCAACGCGGCGGGGTAAGCTGCGGAGCTGGTCCCGGATTAGTGGGCAAATCGACAGGCGCAGGGAAACTCCTGTGGTGCGGGCGGTCCACGGGCCTGGTCGTTGCAGATTGAGACTGTTTGAAAAGAGGCCGCATTAAGARACTTGTGTTGTGTGCTGAGCCGTTCTAGGCGCATAGGGGTGAAGTATGTGTGTTTGTTTGCTTTAAGGGTAGAAATGAGGAGAAATTTCCGTCGAGGCAAGGAGAGGCGTGGATGGAGCAGCAACAAGCGCAGCCACCACCCCCACCGACACGAGAGACCCAGCCACAGCCACCGCAACGAAAGGCAAGTACAGGCAGCTTGTGCCTGGCAGGGGTTAAGCCCTTGGGTCTTATGCCTCACTAAATGTGCAGAATGGAGACTTTGAAGAACTGAGAGGGTTGCCATCTGAAGATCTAGTGGACAGTACTTCTGGTGTATCTGTCTATTACTGGGAGCAGAATTGCATTTATTTCTGGAAGTTTGTTGTGTGTTCACAACTGTACACTGATTTTAAATTGGGATGGGGTTCCACGAGCCAGTCCTTTCAGCTGAGCATTACCATCCATAAACCCTTCATCAATATGCAAAGATAGTTCAGGGAAGAAAAATAATTACCTCATTCCGCCTGTCTGCTTATTTTAAGCCTCTGTCTGCTGGTATAAAATCGGTTATTAAAGGATCTTCATCAATGTTTGAAAGCATGGTAAGTAATGTGTAAATAACACCACCTCTAGCAGATCAGGAAGATGAAACAAGGTGTCTGGAATAATCCCCTGCCTTGAAAACCAATCCTTTTGGAAAAGTGTGTTTTATACTGTAAAACTTATTCTTGCCTATGTTTGAGCTGTTCTTATGGTTGCTTTTTCATTCACCTGCTCTTTATTTAATGCCTCCTGCAGTACTAAAAGAGGCCAATGCTTTGCTTTAGCATATTAAGCTTTTTTTTTAAAGAAAACCATATTTTTAGGAAGAGAGACATACATACAAGTTGCCACATTAGTTGCACTTGTGTAAGAAAACGTAGAAATGCACATGGGCACTACTTAAGTGAGCAGAATTAAAAGGGTTTTCTTAAAGAGCTTTAAAGTTAAGTGCTTGGGTTCGATCTGGGGTGTTTTTCCSCTTGCATACCCACTGTGTTCTTTAACTATTTTCAAACTTCTGTAACCAAAGTGTAGGAGAGCTGGTGTTAGAGTTTCTTTGGCAATAAAATATTCTCTTTGGCAATAAATTATTCTCTTTTCAATAAACTATGACTCTTGAAAAACATCTTCACCTACTGCTTTTAAGATGACATATAGTAAGACCTGTCTTTAAAAGTGAGAAATGTACAARTGATTCAGAAAACTTCCCCGTGGAATTTTGCTTATCCATGCTGAATGTGCTCATGTATATTACTTCAAAAAGAGGAAAACTGCAGTAACCCCATGCTTATGTTTATTAGAAATGCAGAGGCCTTTCTTCCTTGGAATTTTCATTAAACTTTTGTTTATTTTGCATGTTTCTGAACCTCAAAATGGCAAAGTGTTTCATCTAACATCAGTGTTTTAYCCACACTGTCTCTCACTTTATACTGTGAAGACTTGCATACTTTCAGGACTGGGTTGTTCTTTTAACGTACAATTGCCCAGTTAATCTTTTGCTAAAAAGTGTTAAAGGCACTTGCAGAATCAACATCCACCTCTAATGGTTAAATAAATAATTTAAGGCTTTTAGGATGCTGGTATCACTAATGTTCTTCAGAAATTTTTAAGCTGAATATTTTCACTGTTTGAATTTCATAGTTTAAGGTATGGTGATATGCAGAGCGTGCTTATCAGAGCACTGCAAAATGGTATTGCATTGATGTCAGTAATAATCTGCTTTCTAGATTTTTTGTGGGAAAGATGTGTGGAGCCTTTCTTGAAGGCAGTGCTATTTTTTTTTAGTCTGGAACAGAAGGAACCACAGACCCCAGTGAATGCAGGCCCCAGCAGCAGTGAAGATCCTTCTTCATCCAGTTCAACACAGAACTCTGCAGCGCCAGGTAAGAGATGGTGTTTATAGGTCAAAATTCAGTTCTTATATGATTGTATGAAAAAAGTCGTAGTAGCTGCATTAATAATCTGGTGTTATGAGAGCAATACAAATAGTAAAGTTTGYAGAGAAAAGTAACATCAGGTCATACAAAAGGATGTAGTAACTGAGGATCTAGAGAAAGAGCCRAATCACTTTCTGGCCCACAAGTGCTTCTCATGTTTGAAAATTTGCCTGCTTAGCCAAGCTGATATAAACCGAAAAAAATACAATTCTGTTTCTCCCTCCAGAAATGCTGCTTTGGGAAGAAAATTAACTACTGAGCAAGCAGATAAAATAAGAGAGCATATAAAAAATTACAGCTTGTATTCAGTTACTCAGTCTTTTAAAAGGCACAACAATCCACCAGTTTGTGGTGTGTYTCCCTTGTGTGATGTGTCTCACTTTATGCCTTCCGTGTATTTTGTAGTCTGTAATAAATACACTCTGGCTAAGTATTAGTTCATTAACAACAAATGATGAAGTAGAGTGCTGCTGAGAAAGATGTCCTGGTTTTGTTCTGGTTTCCTGACTCATTAAACAATGCTAGCAAAAACTAAGCCACGGGAACATACATTTCTTTACAGCAGGAGAGTCCTGAAWTGACACTGACTCTTAACAGACAAAACCAGAGTTTAGAGAGATGGTTTTTGTATATCACTGGTTTGTGTTGTATGTTAGGATATGTATCCTGCAAGATATTTATTCCTGTGTAATTCGATCCTGTATACTAAATGTAATGTGTTTTTATGAACTTTACTGATTCATTGACTAATYTTTTATTTTTGCTGACCTGAATAAGTCTTGGTCATTTGTGGCTAAGATGAAACCTAAAAGATGCAGACAAGGAACTGAATGGTAAGCAGCAGCAAAAAGAGGTTACTTAAAATGAAAATTCTGGTAGTAGATAAAGTTTCAAACAAAAACTCTTGAAATGGAATGTTAACAATTGCTTCTGAATAAATKTCTTCATCTTGAGACAATCTGTCAAAGTATTGTAATTATCTACCTCTGCATTTACCTAGACAATGAAGCACTAAAATTGAGTGTTTCTCATCCCAGTTTATCTTTGGAATGAGCCAAATGTACTCTGGATTTTGTCTAAATAKCTCCTATGTGCTGAAGAAAATGTGTTTTGTTTGGGAAGTGAATCATTTCATTTGGGTTTATTTGATACCTCATTRTCCATTTTTTTGCTGTCCTACCAACTCTTTTAACTAAGAATSTCCCCTATGATTTATGAAGAAATTTTTGTTCTGCAACAAAACCTTTCTTYTGTACTTTTCTGTTTGGTGAGAATTTCCTCTTGGTCAGTGGTGACTTCCCTTCTGTACCTGTGTAACAGAACTGCATTTGAACACTATAAATAATCTATTTTTTTTTTTTTTTCTCCTGGGAGTGTCTTATCTATTCCTAGTCTGTGTATCTTTTTTTTTTTTTTTTCCTGGGAGTGTCTTATCTATTCCTAGTCTGTGTATCATGTTTGGGACCTGTTGGGAATGAGAGCTTTGGGTCTCATAAATCTGACATTCACATGAAGACGTGAATATCAAAGAGCAATAAACTTAGTYATCTATCTGATTTTGCCACTTTTTCTCCCCCATGTCCCCCCCACTCTGAAGAACTGCCGGGGTTTTATTATGACTCAGAAAAGAACCGCTATTTTCGCCTATTGCCTGGACATAATAACCACAACCCACTCACCAAGGACAGCATTGAGCACAAGGCAATGGAGTGCAAAAGACTGAGACTCTTAGAAGAAGAACAAAAGCAGGTATGTTCTGAAAAGGATTGCAATTAGGCTTTGTTGTACGCTGGCCGAGGACAGATTATAAACTAAAGTCTTCAAATTCTGACAACTCAATTTCTTTTTATGCTAAGAATATATAGTCCTTGAARCCTTTTGTTTGGCTGTTCCACACAGTAGTGAAATCAAGTCATTACAAACAAAAAACAAAGACACAGGAACTGTGCTCAAAATTGCAGTTGTCCAGCAGTTACACTCAATATTGGTATTGGATATTGGATGCCAGGTTTCAAATGCCTACCTCGAATTAGCAAMGTGGGGTCTTAATTTTAAGCTTTTCACATTTTTAATAATTGATCATATTCCTGGACCTTGAAGAAACAATACTAATCATAGTTGCTGGAAACAGCTTTTTCTTGAACTTTTTTTGACAGCTAAAATCAAGACAGGTCTTAACGTTTATGCCTGGAAAGTCTGTGTGTTTTTCTTCATAAAGTGTTACAGTGAAGTTAATGGTGATGCTGAATATTTGCAATCTGGGTACAATATCTAGTAAGGATGCTTTTTTATTACCTGAAAAAATGTTTTATGACTTTACAAATAACAGTTCAGCTTAAATATGCCCTCATTTGGAAGAAGTGTTCTGTTTCTTAAGCAACAAAATCCTCCAACCAGCTATTCAGCTGTTCAGTTCTCACTGTAGAGATCATTTTGACTCTCAAACACTTGCTTTGTCTGAGCTTTATCTAAAAGATTTCTTACTCCATAATTCTGTAAAATGATCTCCTCAGAAAGTGTTTGCATTAAATTCTAGAAAAATTGTGAATCATGGAATGGAATCATAGAATGACTTGGTTTGGAAAGGACCTTAGGGATCATCTAATTCCAACCCCAGTGCTGTGGGGGGAATGGAAATGGAATGGAGAAGCAGTTTAGTGCAACAATAAGACCATGTGTTCAGTAGCCATCTCGTTGTGATAGAAAAATTTGATTTATTAGAATTTCAGGTATTGTGAAACAAGAAGGTGATTTTACACCTCCAGGYAGTACTGCTGATTATGTAAATTGAAAACAATAGCTGTTGGGATTTCATWTTTTTTCCAGCTTTTGTATTTACAGAAGCCCTCCACATCTCACAGGAATATATTCTTGTCTACTTATTGTAGTAAATCAGAGAGATTGTGCTGGAATGTGTTTTCTACATTCTGAAAATTTTGATGCATGTAAGCTAAAGGAAAAGGCTACCTAAACATCCCAAACCTCAAAAACCCACAGCCCTGTTTGAATCATAAACAAGTAAATAACTGAGTATAGTTCCATGTTACTCTCTTCCAGAAAACAACAAGGGCTGGACTGAACTCATCTTTGCTGTTACAGAAAAGGCAGCTGGGTTTGCTCAGCTCCACAAGTTATTGCAGGTACAATAATTTGATTTGTCTTCCATTGGCAGTGCCACGTTCTGGTGTTAGTGCAACTCTGCCTCATTGRATTGAGGAGGAACATATTACTTAAAATTAGCAAAAAGGTTATGTTCTGTAATAATCAGATTACTAAAATGATGAGAATTCAAATGAGGAAGTTGTTTCCCCATTTTACTTTWAAAAAAGTTCACATTATGTATGTATATGGATATGCTGTTTTGCCTCATTGTACTTTATAAGTACAGCACAGCTGTTCTTAGGATGAATACCTTTCAACTGAGGTGACCATTCCCCTGTCCCCCATTASAACAGCTAAGGTAGCCCAGTTTCAGCAGCAGTGCAGAAGGCAAGTTAAGTTAGTGACCTGCTGTGTTGTTATTTCAGCTGCTAAAGACCTGCTGGGGTTCAAAATAGCAGGATGAAATTACATGAATGTGGAAGATGCACATGTTCATGGGTTATGTAAGTTAAATTTAAGCATGCTAGTTACTTAGGCATTTTCTCCTTGGTGATTGAGAAGCAGTTCTATATCCTGACCAGAATTTTTTTCATATGCATTAAATTTGGGCTTACCTGAGTACTTTTCTCTTCAACCCCCTCACCCTCCTACCTGCTTTTACAGGCTAGTCCATGAACTAAAAGTGAACTGCATGCAGAGGAGGAAGATAGAAATTCACAGTCCGGATTCCTCAGTTGCTGGAACCAACAATTTTAAAATCATTGTGGTATGTCATGAGAAATGATAGGTCGCTAAGATAAAGAGAGCCCATCTTCAGTGAAAATTCAGGCTCTTGTAATCAAATCACATAGGTCAAATCTAGCTTTTAAAGATGTGTTTATTCCTGCTGTGTCAGTTCTTAAAATATGTTCTCAGTACAAGTTTTAAATAGGTAGGGAGAAGCTGTTCCTTTCCTATGAAAGAAACTTACTAAAAAGGTTAGRTATGAAAGCTTTTTTGTTATGGTTTTTATTAATCTGATCGAYGTTCTTTTGCAAGTAAATAGGAGTTGAGAGGATCATTATTATGGGAGGAAGAGTGGTGAGGATCAAGAGAAAGAAGAAAAAAAATGAAASAGAAGAATTTTAGGAGTGGCAAAGCCTATGGTCCACAGAATCTAAGTAAACATCAGTAATCACTTTAYGTTTCATGATCTTCCATAGATTTTATAGGAAGCTTTCCAGGACCAGCTCCTGGCCATGTAAACAGAGCACTGCATAGGTAGCTGAAGGCAGAAGGGACTCAGAAACAGTGTAAGTGTATAGAATTTTTAACCTTGGAAAGATTATTGTTAGTCAAGGACTAAAGCCTTTTATTTTCCCTTTTTTTCTGTGCATGCATTTAGAAAGGAGTTGGCCACTGATTTTAGAGGTGAATGGAAAGCAGGTGGTGTTAAAGGGATCAGAATTAATGTGTTGTTTCATTTTAGACCTAATGCAGCTCCCTCAAGCTCTTTTTCCTGTAAGTTTCCAGTAAGTGTGACCGGTAAGCTTTTATTTTACAGGCAGATGTTGCTTGTGAACGAATATTCACTGTGAACGATGTAGAGCATGGAGGATGTAAATATGGTATCATCAATCTCAGCGGTTTGGGGAAGGAGTCTCTCACTGTGGAGATGTATGACAACCTCTACTTCACAAACCGCAAAGTATTATTTTCTGTTCCTCCTTCCTTTGGTGCTTGCATTCTCACAACGCTGTTCTTGGGAGCCTCAGGTGGAAAGGCCATGAGGGTTGGGAAGGCGCTAGGAGAAGAGAATGGAAGAATCTAGAAATGTGAAGCTTGGATAAACACAGAACCACAATAARCCTGTCTCTGGGAGTGCTCAATACCAGTGATAATTGTCAGGAACGTTATACTACAATTAGAATGAAAGACTACATAGAAGTACCACCTTCCAAGGGTAGTGCTTATTTCAGACTTGGACTGTAGCTGGCAAAACTAATGTTTTGTTACCAAAACTACCGAAATTTGCATGTTTCTGTGTTAAAAAATAATTTTGGGAAACTGTGTTTATCCTTAAACATGAGGCATATTTAAAATATGAGGCATATTTAAAACAAGCTTTCATGATCTCCTCATGCTCAGATTCTTTCAAGGATGGTCTCTTGAATAATAGGATGTGCATGGTGCCTCAGTCTGCGTACGGTCAGACTTCTCAATGCTGTTAGGTCGTTGCAAGATAAATAWGACGCTAAAATGCTCATGCCTCATTACTGAGCTATTTAGTGGGCTGAGGAGTTGTGCCTGGTGCCTAATTCTATGTAATCTTTGCATGGAAATAATCTTCCATTAATTGAGTAACAGATCACAAAAATGGTTTGTCTTCTTGTGTCTGAAGGTGAATTCTGTGTGCTGGGCATCATTGACTCATCCAGATTCTCATGTTTTATATCCTTTTAAAAAAAGCAAAATTGTAATTCAGGTTTCACAAATCTGCATCATATTTCACAGAAAAACTAAATTCAAGGAATACCTCTCCTGTAGTTCTCCCAGAAAATAAGTTTTCTGGAAAACAGAGGAAGTAATAAAAATCAAAATATGTTGGAATTAGTGAGACAGATGTATGGTTCTGTTACAGATTTATGTAGAATTGTTCCCATGTTAATGTAAATGAAAGACCACGTTTTCTGCCTTGGAGAATTCCCACTTCATTAATAGTGTATGTAAATGCCATATCCAAAATTATCTGATATTTAGAAATTGGCTGAGGCAAAAGAACAAGAGCAGAGGGTTAAGGCAACAAYCTTTTTTCAGAAGTGAACCTCTTTGAAAGTGGGGTGGTTTGTGTTTAAAACCACACCCATATTGGTTGGGGTGAGAGAATGGGAGCAATGAGTAGCATCATCTRCAACTTTCAGAGCATGATCTGCAGGTCTGACTCAGAAGAAGGAAGTTGATGGTATAGTAGAGGAAGCAATAATGGACAGTGCAGAGCCCAGAAGAGAGGGGGTAAAATGGAATTTTGACATAGGAGATGGCAGACGACAGATGCGCTATTGAAGTGCCAAAAGAAAAGTATGGAATGGCCCATGTGAAAAGCCAGGCAATTCCAGACCGACCCATCAGGGGGCAGGAGCTCRTCAGGCCTGCACACAGCTGAGGAGGAGTTCGGGATTGCTTGGTTTGGTGGTTTCCGGCTTTCTCGTAGTGATGTTATGGATTTAGCCCACTGAACTTGAAATGCAGCTTTCCAGTTCTATTTATACCTGGTACAGTCTTCATAAAATATTTAACTGTAATCTAAAGTGATCTTCCTTGCCTCACCAATGTGTGCTCCCCTTTTTTCAACTTTCTCTTTAAAAAACAGATCTGTATTCATGCAGTGTCATCAACATGTAAAGATGAGAAGAATGATCTGTATAGGCCRTGCTTATTTTTTTCTTTTTCCAATCAGTCGTAAAATGCTGTAGTATTCCTCTTATCTTTCTGGTAGTGAAAATACACAAGACACAAGCAAGAATTTGAGTTCTTTCTAGCTCGTTCCTCTGAAAGAAATGAAAAGTCAAGACATAGTTGCAAACTGTAAACACAAAGCACATCAAAGGTCACATCAAGGAAACGTGTTATGAGTAGTGGCTTGCTTTTCCCAGTTACAAATATTAGGTAGCCTGTTCCATTGTAGGGAGAAATCTGTTTTCCTTAACTCACTTCATCAAGCTGTGTCTCATGGGAATTGCAGAAACACCAGGCTGTGCCAGTCTGCTTCCAGCATCATTGTTCAGCAGCACTAACCCAGGTAGGATGTTTTTGTTGGTTTTTCGTCTCTAATTTCTGGTAGCAATTATGATATGGAAAGAGAACAAATGAAAGAATTATTTTAGTATTTTTCTTCCTGTAGTTGGTGAGAMTGTTGTATTCCTGTAAGACTAAAASAGCTTAGGAAGTGAAATGATGAGGAAAGAACTTGAGACTTAATTAAGTAGCAGTGTTCCAAGCCCTTTTTTATTTTTAGCTGCTGCTGTAYTTGACTTTGGCAGGAGAACACCTCACTTGTAAGGTAAACACTTGAGATTTTTTGTGAGTAGCTTGGCCTGTAGTTAATACTTGGAAGCTGCACACAAGAAGTACTCACATTTCCTCATAGACTATCCAGAATCAGTGCAAAATCCCTTCTGATAGCAGTTCCTCAGGTGTGCTCAGTGGATTATCAGAGATGGAAAGCTGGTAAATATCTCAGCCCCATAGCTCCTTGTACAAGCTCATGTTCAGTTGTACATAAACCTGACTGATTGGGAGAATACTATGTCTTAAGTCTGGCTATAGCTAGTCTTTTTTGTTGAGTGTTCTTGGGGGCAGGACTTAATTAATTGGACTTTCTGACAGATGTTAGAACCATATTTCTTAAAGCCACAGAATGCAGTCTTCTAATCTGATTTCTATTCAGACATGATCAGTTAAGTTTATACAGAGGAAATATGTGATAGATAACAGTAATGGACCCATTTTAAATTTTTAATGTCTTACTGTTTACGCTGTCATTAAAAAACTAGGCATAAAGTCAGCATGAACTTGAAGAGTTGTTGAGAGTGGAGGGCTAGTAGGCCAGCATAGCCAGTTGCTCTGAAGTTGCTAGAAGATTCTAAGCCCTTTTAAGCTACCATAATCAGATGTTGTGAGTTACACCAAAGTCTTTCTGTCTAGTGTATCCTGCTGACTGTTTAGGTATTTCCAAGTCTGACTGACTTCACTTTTCTAAATAGGTGGTTTGTGGGAGCCTTGCTGAGTAGATGCTGGGAGAAAAGAAGAACTTTCCCTGTCTAAAACTATATTATCCATCCATTCTTGTCACCTTTGCTACCTTACATATAGGTGTATGATGTGCCATGAAGGCAGTGAAAACTGAGGACTTAGTCTGCTTGTTGGTATAAGTTTTGAGCAGGAGCTACACAAATAAAGGTCAAATCTAGCATATTGTTACTTCTTTTGTTTTTTTTAATAGGCCAAGAACTTGCAGGTTAGTTTTGGGTAATCTATAGTTTATAAAGTAAATGTTTTTTATTTCTGGCCCACTCATTTTTAAAAAAGGGCTTAGTGCTATAAGGCAACTGTTACTCTTCCCTGCCATGGTCAGCCCTCTGACTACTGAATAMATTTCAGTCTCTCAATATCATCTACTTACATAGACTGTAAGTGTCCCACTTAGAGTCATGAAGTCCCATTTATGTTTCCTTTCTCTTGAGTAGCAAAGGGACACTAACTGGGTAACATTTTCTCTGCTTCAGATTGAAATGTTAAAAGAAGTGTGGCAATCTGAGAACCTTTCTGAGTTATCATCCTGTCCTAACATTTTATGGACACTTCATGTGTTATTCTTGTCATCTAGGAGATCGACCTGGAATGCTGTGCAGTTTCAAGATATCCACTGCCTGGTCCTGTGCTTGGTGCCTGAATCCCCARGCAGACAACTGCTTTAGCACAGGTGATCTATCTGCAAGGCTAGCAACCCCCTCTGTCTTGGGGSGAAAGACTCCTTGCATTCATCTCCCAGCTGCTACTTGAGTTACAAGCTAAACCAATATCATCTGTCTTCTGTAGGTCTGACACGACGAGTTCTTGTGACCAATGTAGTGACAGGGCATCGACAGACATTTGGAACCAGCAGTGATGTACTGGCACAGCAGTTTGCCACACAGGTAAGGAGAACCATACATCATTTTTTCAGAGCAATGCCTCATTGGTGGGCTCTTTGTTCTGTTTGGGACAGGACTCCTCCTGCTGTACATTAGCTTGTGATGACAGCTGCTGTTGGCTGTGACACCRCAGAACTGATGTGGTCTGATGCTTTCACGCATTTGAATAGCAACAAAAWGATTAACTGATTGCAAACTGTGGCAACGGGCAATTTTTGTTAGTATTACAGAGGTTAAAAGAAAATTAAGAAAGTACAAAGAATATAGTAATAAAATGTAAAATTGTTTTGGTTTTGGTAAATTTACTCATTTCATTAACACTCAGTGTATTACCTCCACTAAGGAGAAAAGCCATATAAAATACTAATGGACTTGTTCACAAAGAATTAGAATGGTGAAATAGGAATATGAGAATTCCAATTTCTGTTTTGCTGTTATGTTCGACTAARTTCCTGCTCACCTAGCCAGACTTTTACAGCTTAAGTAAACAGTTGATGTTTGAATAGAACCAGTGAGTTGGCTCAAAAATCTTGCAGTGTGTAATTAAAATTCTGCTTCCTAATGCCTGTGTTAAAATAATTTGACAACTACATCATAGAACTCAAAAGCATGACACAGCCTCTTTGTAAGTTGTAAGATCCTTGCAGATGTTACACAGTATGCTTCTTTCTGTGGGATTCTCCCAGACCCCAGTGCTGTACAATGGCTGCCGTTCAGGTGAGATTTTCAGCATTGATGTGCGCCAACGGAACCGAAAGGGGCAGAGCTGGAAAGCAACTCGTCTCTTCCATGGCTCAGCAGTTACATCTATTCACCTTATGGAGGCTGAACATTATCTTATGGCAGCAGATATGGCTGGAAAGGTATGGTTTTGTTGTGTTTATGATATTCTGTTCCTTTTAGTATCCGGGCAGGTATTTATCCCTGGGGGGGATAAATATACACTCCCAAGGGAAGATGCCTGCATTTAGTATGTAGTGTGGAACTGGGTGGTAGTTCCATTTATGGGTCTTATTCCAGAGGCACTTACAAAACATAGAAGTGTTTGGGTTGGAAGGAACCTTAAAGATCATCTAGCTCCAGCCCCCTGCCATGGGCAGAGACACCTTCCACTAGACCAGGTTGCTCAAAGCTTCATCCAGCCTGGCCTTGAGCACTTCCAGGGATGGGRGATCCACAGCTTCTCTGAGCAACCTATTCTAGTCATTCACCATCTTCAGATTAAAGAGCTTCCTGATATTTAATCTGAACCTACCCTTCTCAGTTTAAAGCCATTCCCCCTTGTYCTGTCACTACACACCCTTGTAAATTGACCCTCTTCRGCACTCTTGTAGCCTCCTTTAGGTATTGGAAGGCTGCTTCTCTAGGCTGAATTCTCTCAGCCTGTCTTCATAAGAGAGGTCCTCTAGCCCTCTGATGATCCTCATGGCTGTCCTCTGGACTGGCTCCAACACATCCAGCCTTTAGGTGCTCTTTGCTTTAATATATCCTTTTTCAAACCCTTCAACTTGCAGATAAAACTGTGGGACCTGAGAACAGCCAAGTGTGTGAAACAGTACAAAGGTCATCACAATGAATATGCTCTTCTCCCTTTGCATGTAAATGAGGAGGAAGGACTTCTTATAGCAGGTGGGTTGACTTCCCCCCCCCCCCCTATTTGTAGAGTGCATGGTCATGAATTTTGTATGCCTGAGGGGTGTTTCTTAGCTACAGCTATTACTTGTAAAGCTGTTCTTTAAAATTCAGAACAAATTTAGACTTAGACATACTGTAATATACTATGAAAATTAAGAAATTATGTTATGGATGCACACCTACTATGATCACTCCTTTGTGGTGCTTATTAGCTTTATCTGCCGTGTCCTACAAAAGTCCTATTCTTTCCACAATATGTCTCAAGAGTAGAGCAGAAAACACTTGATTTTGAAATTTAGGGAAACAACATGTAAATAGGAGGGAGACTTGGTGATAACTTTATATAGAGACTGTGTAAATGTTTAGTTGGTGCTTAAGTGGATAGTGTGGTGATGGATTGAAGMATTGGCATGTGGGCCTGACTGTAAGCCATCTGTACAACTCAGGTTCATTTTGAATACTCCCAGTAACAGTTAATTTTTTTTATTATTATATTTGGGGTGGGGGGAGAAAAAGTGGCAACAGATGAAGCAAAATCCTCATAGTGTAGCYGAGCTTCACAAACACACTATAAAGACAGTGACCTCCTTTCCTTGSATTTGTCAATAAATGGCAGAATAATAAAAAGAGTTTTTGATTAAATTTTTTTGCCCTTTTTTGGCTTAGTAGYTTGATAAAGAGGAAAGCGTTCTAAATACTGATTTATCGTACCTTTTATTGCCTAATAGGAAATGCACATTTTTCCCACTTTTGTAGTATTCAGTGTAAAACTTAACAGAAAAAAGTATAAATAAGCACTTTGTTTCTTGTGGGTGTAGAAATAGTCAGGGTGTTTTGACTTAGATTTCCTTCTGTGGTAATAATAGTGTAGAACCATGTAAAGTCCTTCTTGCGTAATGGTGAATGTTGCTGTCCTTTCCTCCCAGTTGGTCAAGATTGCTACACCAGAATTTGGAGTCTCCAAGATGCTCGTCTGCTTAGAACCATCCCCTCTCCCCACCCATCATCCAAAGATGCCATTCCTAGTGTGGTGTTTTCTTCAAGACTTGGGGGTAGCCGAGGAGTTCCTGGCTTACTCATGGCTGTCAAACAGGATCTCTACCACTTCTCCTACAACTGACATATTCTCCTGAGACCTGGTCTACAAAACTGCCAATCTATATGTGACTTCAAAATCTTTACACCAGTCACCAAGCTGTTGACTCATTATGTGCTGCTGTTGCATCTGCTTTGCCCATCTAACTGTGAACCTCCTTTGGCAGGTTCAGCCAATTTTGCTGTATACATCTCAGACCTCTTGTAAATAAAAGCTGAACACTGATTAACTATAAGCAAGATTCAGACTCTGAAATCTAGCTGTAAGCCTGCCAAGCTGGTAACTTAAAGAGCCTCTGTTGTGCTAGCTGAATTTGCTGTCAAAAGTAGGCAGGCCCAGCAGAGTGAAGCAGTGATGTTGAGAAGCTGACACTAAAGTCTTCTGGGGCTTTGTTTGGAGGAGCTTCGGTCACGGTTCCTGCTTCAACTGCCACTGTTCCACCTACGGTTGTAAGCAGTGCAAGGAATGGCTGTTTTTCTTACCCATGCTACATTTGCTGGGTCACACTAAACTTTGGCCCTTTCAGGTGATGTTAGCATGCTACTACACCGTTGCCATCCTCTTTAAAAGCCCCTTTTCTGGCCCAGTAGAGAAGCTGAAAGCCCCTGTTAATTATGATAGTGTTTCCTAACCAAGTCCACATCCCTACCATGGAGTTTGGTCAGGAGTCTGGAAGGGTGGGCTTGCTCATGCAGCCATAGCAGGACACAAGCAGGACCCCAGYTGTACAGACCACATCTTTGGGATATGTGATCACCCATGCAAAGTCAGGCCTTTTGCATACAGAGCTACAATTGGACCCTCGGCAGCAAAGTTGTAGCACCAGTACAACTCACAGTAACTGGATTGTACCATGTTTGTATTTGAGATCAAGTACTATCCATGGAGCCTCSTTACCTCCACCTCCTGCCTGGTAACCAGTCTGGCTTGGGCAAGACCATCCTGCTCTCACTATCTGTAGGAAGCACGGACCAGATCAGGAACCTTTGAGATCTAAGATGGGCTTTACAGGAAAGGCACACTCACTGCACTCAAATTTTCCAAGATTCTTATTAAAGGAGTGCCAGAACCAACTTTTCATCCTGGCATCCATTTAGATGCTTTTCAATTTGAGAAAATACTCTGCAATTTGTCTTGATCAGTTATGTTAATCTTGGATTCTGTTTTCTGTTGCATGCACAATGATAAATGCACACAGCACAACTTTCGAGAGCATTTGCATTGCCTTAGCTAATAATGCATACTGCMACTAAGCATCTGTTCAGAAAGCAGAAGTGTACATAACCCCATCCCACTGCAAAGTCCTAATACTACATCTGATAATSAACTCAGAGTTGCAATACACCTGATACTGATCTTGCTGGTAAATGTGTAGTTCAAATATTTTCAGGTAATGACTTAGAAAAATCATGAACTCCCTTAAAGCAGAATTAATTCCAACATTTAAATTAGAATTTAAACTTTTTTTCAGTGCTCTTAATACCAGTACTACCCATTCTGCAAGAACAAGAAAGACATTGCAACAATTACGTCTAATTGCCGTGGGAAACACAAACTAAGAATTGTGGCAGAAAGGCATCTTACATAACTGAAGATAGTTTCTTCTCTTTGTTCCTTTTAGGGAAAACATGGAAAACAAAATAATTTCCTTTCTGTTGTTTGCAGGAAGCAAATGCCACACACATATCCCTGCAAACCCTTGCAGCCAWCACCTCTAATTAAGCCTGCAAAAGCACTAAAAAAGGAGAGGAGAAGCAGGGCAGGAAGAGAGGCAATTTGGCTGCAATGACTAACAGCAAGCAGTTTACAGGCAGCAGCTAAAATGTATTAAATCATCTCTTTATTATGCAGCAACAGCAGGACCTTAAAGCAGTTAAATAGGAACTGCAGCACTCTTCCTCTCTGCTGAAGTATCAAAACACAGTATTTCTTTGCCTCAGCTTCTCAGCAAGCACTGAACTAGTGGGAAACCTCAGAAAGGTCAGCCCTGTACTTCAAGACAGCTTGCAGCATCCCTCATCCAGCAGACACAATAACCTTGGTCCGTTTGGGTCCCATGGCACAGCGCAGACCACCAGGCTCAGCAGCCAAACTGCCAGTGCCTCCCATCAACACAACTTGCAGAAGCCGCAGTCTCACCCTTGYTCTGTTCCATGTCCCCTGCTGCTCTCATCTCTCAACTCTCTTAATAAAGCTCTTTAAATATAAGCCCCTTTAGATCACTTAAGGTTCTTAGATATAACAGGTAGAAAAAATTCAATTTTAACTTGAAATTTGTAACACATGGAGGGGATTTGCTTCTGGGTCTTCTGTGGTGGTGTTGGTCATGTCTTTCTGTTGGTCTCAATTTATTGCAGTAATTCATAGTCATTTCTCCTCTTTTAATGAATACTGGAACTAAGAGGTTAAAAAATTTATTTACTAGTCACAAATTCGCACTGCCATTTTGGCATTTTTGGACCTATTCTAACAGGACTAGAAAATGAAGCATTTGTTGTGAGAAAGGGAGAATTCAAACCSAACTATGTATATAGTCTCAAGGTATCCCCTTACAAAAGTTGCTTTCAGAAAAGTTATAATCTGGCAGTGGAGAATTCAGCTTTGGTCCCCAAACCTTCAGTCACTAGTGGCTGCTTGCATCTATTCTATATACTACATATACTGTGAGCTGAATCCAGCAGCCAACACCACCACCAACCCAAAGTACCTTCTAGACAGGTATTCTGGGGTGAGGGCCTGGGGGCTGAGAGATGCATGACCCAACTGTTTACAGCACTTTACAAATCAGTTTAAAGTTTCAAAAAKGGAAACTAAGGCACAAAGTTGATTACCCTTTTTAGGTAACATCAAAATAAGCAAGATCACSTGCCTTTTCTTGTTCAAACTTCTTTCCTATTTGCACTTCCTTTTATATCATGGTAGCTGTGAAGCACTCCAATGCCTTCCTGACATCACCATCATACATATGCTATTGCKTCTCTCCAGTGCTGCTGGAAAATTGCCTTTTAAGCAGAAAGATTTAACCTGTTTTTTTAAAGTGTTAGAAATCTGTGTATTTCAAAATCTCCAGGCATTCTTGAAATTAGAATTTCTTTAATGTTACAATTAAAACATTTCCTACATAAGGACTGTCACATATATATATGTATATATATGTAAATTACTTAATTACTTTTTTGCTTGAGTTATAGCCAACAAAAGTGAAGTTAAAAAGCTGAAAGCACTTTAATTTTGGCTTGTAATAACTAGCTGCCATTCTACCTTAGTTTTGTCTTTGTCACATTATACTGCTGATTTTGAAAGCCCTCATAGCAAGTTTTTATTTATTTTGGCATTGACATGATTTCATTGTTGATGTACCTGCATTACCAAACAGACACATTTGACGACATAGTATGTGTGCTGTGACTGACAGAATATATATGTCAACATTGCTTTGCCATGAAAGAGTGCCCAGTTGGGGATGGAAATGAAACCTGGATGACAAAAAGCAGACAGTTCTATCACTCGTCCAGATCATTTCTGTTCTCAAATTACTGGCAGGCAAAGACATATTTGTTGGTGCCAAATTATATTACAGCCAYCAGTGATAATTAAATGCAAAGACGATGCCACAAATGTGGCATTACAGTGACTGACAATGTCAGTTGACAAATGAAACACRAAAATGAGAGGCTGCCAAAATAAAATTGTATTAGTATTTAAACCTAATTGGACTGGTTATGCTAAAAGCAAAAATACGGAGAACAAAGTATATAACCAGGTGGGAAGCCAGAGTGCTGCAATATTAAAGCCCAGGCTCCCAAAGCAGCAGGGACATTTGTGAATGTCTCAGCACTCACAGCAGACACCTGGCATAAATGCAAGGCAGATCTAACTTAATGTGGTGTTTATTTCCACAAATAAGCTCTTGTTGACATCAAAAGCTGGCAAGGGTTGTCTTGTTTACCAGAACACAGCCAAAGGTCCAATTCACAAGGGACACAGAAACATACAGGATACCTTGGCCAACTTCAGTTTTTGCAACTTCACCTGCAAGGAACTGGGCAGGAGAACGAATGAACAGGAAAATCAWTGCAGGGGGTGGAAGTGGGGGAGGGCAGGGAATGAAAGACAGCAGTTTTTCTTGTGCAAGTAACTCCACCTTGGAGCCTGTTCCTACCCTGACAATAACTACATGTTGCAGCCATGCTGTTCCTCCATCTGTCCCCTGGCTGCAAGTTTCAGGTGCAATGTGCATTTAGTATATATTTAAGCCAAGAATGGCCTACAGGGTTTGGCTAGGGAGTCTAACTGAAAGTGCCCACATCTATTTGACACTCACATGTATCTGCTTCATAGAATGAGAGGGAAACCCACATCACCTATCTGAAGATGAATCTTCATGCTGAATTGGCATTAAGTACAGACTATGGAAATAAATCCATCAGAATAGAGCAATCAACAAGTATAGGCTTGTTTCGTGGTGCTTTGGGTGAGGAATTAGGTTTTTTACTGGGGCACACATCTTTGTTCATTGGTTAATTAACATGATTCTCACTTTACTCCATCTTTTCCATAGTATTTCCTAATGAGAAGAAGTGCAGATGCTGCTTTGTCAATAATCATTCTGACATACTTTCTCTGGCAAGACTTTYCTATCAAACAGTCAATTTCAATCTAACTCAGAACATGCTTTTACCATGTCACATCTCAGACTAACTGAATTCATTATCCTACCAAGCAAGAGTAACAATTTGAATGCTAAAATATTAACATTACAGTGAACTTCAGCTGATCCAAGGGACATASCATCTTGACCGACTGCAGCTTCATGGTAAGTAATTAATTTCTCTTCGGCACCACACACATAGTGATGATCTAGAAATTTCCTGAAAAAACAATCATCTCCTCCTATTTTTGCCTTTGTCAATACAGGAGTTTCACACAGGAGTTCCATTAGTGTCACAACTGTCTCATACTGCCATTATGAAACTCACAGTTTGTGCTTTTGCAAAGCTCCAGCAACGTTGCTTAACTTGTAACAGGTTTTCCAAAAACTCACTCCAGTTTGGTACTCCTTATAACACAAAGCCTCTCTCCAAATAGTTCAGGAATAGAACTCTCACAGGTTTCTGCTGRCTGTCCCACTCCAAGCACAACATGCTTCCATGTTGCTTGAGGGCTTTTTCCCCAGGATTTCYATTTCCTTCATTTAAGTTTTCTGTAGAGCTTTCTGTTCCCAGACATCTTTTAGGGCTCTTTGTTTACTGAATTCTAATGTATTAACACTGAAAAGCATTGGGCTCGCTAACGTCTATCCCCTTCAAATAGCTAAGCCATTTAATAACCATATTCTATACCATGTACTCACAGCATCAAATAATATTAGGAAAAATAAAAGCTATTCTGTAAGAAAAACAGAAGTAAAGTTAAACCTTAAGAGATTTTTTTTTTCATTTTGGAAAGCAAAGCTCCCAAAACACACCTCTCAATGTTCTCCAGTAAGAGTCTCAAGCCTGCAGCAGTTTAAGCACCACACAAGACTTTGCTTTGTAGAGAAACATCATAAAAGATTCATCTCCAAGATAATCAGTCTAAAATGGACTCTGATACTGACAGGTTGCTAAATTACTAAGACTACATATATATTAAAAATGTTTAGACATTTTCCTTTTGACTGAGTAGTAGTTCTTGCTTTGGAAGTTCTTTGACAAGGAAAAAAAAGATCAGACAAGTTGAAACAGATGCCAAAGATTTTATACATGGAATGTCACGGCTGCTTTCTCTTTGTGCATTAACATGGTAGTAAAGCTACATGCATAAACAGCACACAGGGCACAGCCTATAAACCAAGAACACATTGCTCACCCATAAAAAAATAAAGAATACTTTGAAGCACAGAATTATGCTAGATGTACAGAATGYCTTTTAAGAGAGGATTTCTACCTACTCATGCCCTTATTTGGACAACTGTCAGTTTATGGCAGACTTTTGCTTACAAAAACAAAGACAGTCCGCAGTAAACTTGGCCAGTACCGAAGGTGTCCTGGAATATCTTCTAAATCTACTTCCTTGTGTAGGCTGGATGTAGTTGTGAACAGACAATCACTTTGTGAGCATGTTCTTTCAGAGACAAAGTGAGAACCGCTTGTTACAAGGAAAGTCAGTACGCTTGTTCAGAAGATAAAGTTCTTTATAGCAGTTAATTCAATAATACAGTCTTAAAACAGGGTGTTGGGCACTCATCTACACAAGAGCACATTTARTAAGCTGGGGAAAAAACACCACAGTTCCAGGACATTGCATTAAACTCCAGCCACTCCAAGAGGCAACTCTCATGTGGTGAAAAAATTMTTGTCTGTGTAAGCCAAGAAGGGAGAATTTTAGGCAGTATAATCCACAATGATCTCCTACTTCTTATAAGTGGAACCACAAATCCACAGTACATGACAGTATAAGTTGGGTTAAGTGGTGCTTTTGATAATAAAATCAGTGAATTCATTGCAGTCCTTTCACAAAAGGATGAAGTCCAGTGAGTGCCAGTTGCTAGGAGCAAAGAAGAAAGGTTCCCATTTTCCAGGTTGATTTGTGAGTTTATATTATTAGAAGAAAAGTCCAATCTGTGCAGTTTCTATGCAACCATATCTGAGAACACAGAGGCTTCAGAGATTACAGGATCATTTAAAAAGTGGGGGGAAAGTCATCACAATCCAAACAACTCAAATTTTGTATCTCGCAATTGCCTACAAAACTTGTTTTCTTGTTCTCTGGACAAAACTTTAACTGCAATGATCTTGCAGAGAAACTTGAAAACCTGAGTACATGAAAACATTGTCAGGGAGAGCAAAACCCTGCTACCTTTTGATCTGGTATTGAAGTTGTAATGGCAAAATCAGAATGCTTTGCCTCGTGCCATAGGATTTACTTTACCTTTCAGAGCTCACTGGTCTCTGCCAGGGGGTCTGTRTCAACTTGATACCTCTTGCACTGCAAGACCATTGCTCATATCACAGTTCAAACAAACTTGCTAATAAATCTGGGTTAAATCTTCCATGGCCAGAAAGGCAGCACCTCCAGATGCAGAGTTGGTTGAATTACCAGGTGTAATTCATATATCAACAYTGGAGATTCCTGGCAGCACAGAGTCCAAACCTTCCTCACAGGACATCACGATCAGCAAGACATTCCAAAAGAAGAATTAGAAGGCCATAATTCTGATCCAATACAGTCAGGAACAACACCATCCATCATTTGAACTAGGAATACTCAAAGCTTCATTATTCAACCATATTTTTAATATACTAAATTATACATAGTTGATATATATATATAGAGATATTTTTATTGGAATAAAATACACTGGATTTTGGTTTGCTCATTTACAAGGGAGCTCCCTCCCTTTCCCAGTTAATTTGAAATTAAAACCTAGAGGCTGAATGTAAGCTCATTCCCAGTGTTCCAAGATGGACATAACACAAGAGGAGGCCAGAAACTGGAAACATGCACTCTGGCTGCAAAAGGTTAAAAGGTGAAAGGGAGACCAGATATTTTCATTTGTAACCCTGAGAACATAAGGAATTGCAAAGATCTGGAGAGGAGCCTGCGGTTAAAGGTCACCAGGCTTTTTATTGCAGTTAAAGCAAACTCGGACTGGGTGATCCCATCCACGAGAGGGAACCGCTCTGCGGTCATGTGAGCACTCGTCACAGAATCCCTGGCCACAGGCCCGACAGTGGTGTTTGGAGAGTTTGATACTGAATTCCTTCCGGCAATTGTGGCAGTGCAGGATTTCATGGTCTGGTACCCAGTATGCAGGTCGGGCAGCATCTTTTACCAGACCTAAAGAGGAAGTGAGGTGGGGGGGATGAGATAAAATAATCCATGAACACGAGCATGGCAAGAATGTATTCCAGTGGAGGCACTCACACACTGCAAGTCACACCACTGCATTGAGGGGGAGATGACCTACTGACAGTGCAGTGAGTAGTCAACTTAGGGCATTCTACCATACTCCCACATTCTGCCTCTCTTCAAAGGGCATACTGTGTCTCTTTTAATAGTGGCATCTTGCCTTAATCAGATTCTCCCAGAGTTTAAGACACTTGCTTTTCCCTACCTTCAGTTTCAGCTGTGGGCAAAAAAAACCCAAGTCACCAAACCAAATACTCAGAAATGCATGTACTGTCTGAACTGAGAAAGAGATTTATTCTGTCCTTCACTGAGCTGGAGAGCAAACATCCACAACGGTGATGGCTGGACATGCTGTACGCAAAGCAGCTGAATGACAATCAGCACAATGAGTAAGAAGTCAAGTCCAACAACAGAACATTCTAATGTGAAATGTGTGCTGACATACTTCAACTGCCACCAAGCACATGAAAAAGCACCAGAGGTTCCCTGCACTAAACTCACCATTAAAGATCATACTACTAATTACTTCCCCATCATTACTAACCTGGACAGCTTCAAATTCTCAGCCCACCCCAACAGAAGCACCAAGTGCCAGCAGTATCCATGAACACATTTAAAAGGCACTCAGCATCTCTGGAAGAAAACCAAACCTGATAAAATGCTTCCTAATTGGCCACTCTTTAGGGAACTCCAACTGGCAGGTCTCTGCAGTGAATGKATCAGGGGACCATGAATTACTCACAGCTTGGTGCACAGTTTTGCATAAAGGGTGAAAAGAGAAAGTGTGAACTGGAGAAACAACATGCTGGAAACCAAGAGGAAACATCAAGCAGAAGAGGGATGTAGAACTCTCAACCAACAGTGGCATCATAGCAGAGGTGCCAGCCTGTCACACAAACTCTTGAAGTTTAATAACAAGTTTTGTTCTTTGAAAATAAAAATGCTTTTAGACAAAAAAAAATCCATCAGAACAGGACAGAACTCACCTAAGGGAATGTCCATGGCTGTCACCACTGCTCCAAGTGTGTTTTGCACAGCTTCCCCCACCTTCCTGGCAATAAGTGTCCCCCCTTCCTCCTCTGAAGGCAGCTCAGCCACATCTGCATGACACAAGAGTGAAGGGCTCAACACCTAAGTCCACCACCACTTCTGCCAACTTTCAGTTAACCTACATTAACAAAACCAGCATCAAACCCAAAAGGCAGGTTGGAATCTTTCCTCAGTCTTTATGTACCCCATTCACAATCCTGGATTGCAGAGTTTTCATTTTAGCAATAACSGACAAAATAGATAGTCTGCTGTAATAGCAGCATCCCTGCTCTGATGTTAGAGCTAGACCATCAGCAGCTGCTAGAAAAACAAAGTAAAGATACTATTAGAAAATAATTTTATCAGCAGGTCAGGTATCTGGTAGGGTTATCTTTCTTCCAAAARGCATTGAGCTCTTCAGCTTCCCTACCACAAACTGTATGGAAATCAATGCTGTCGACACCCAGTGGGAATGACTGTGGTCCAGAAATCAGGGACAAAGACTTCAGGCTATTGCCCAGTGATAGTTCTGTCACAATCAGCTCAAGATTACCTAACTGGATGCCCCTGTTGTCATAGCAGTTGTCACACACACGCACTGGTGCTGGTCCCCAGCCTCGCTCAGGCACTGGACGTGTCTTGGAAGAACAGCCATCACAGAAGCCCTCTCCACAGGCCCGGCAGTGATGCTTAGTGTCATTATCTTTGAAAGGCGTGTTGCACTTCTTGCAACTCTAATCAGAACAAACACAGAAAGAAGAACCGTTAGTTTGATCTTCCTTAAGTGAAAAATAGAAAGCAGAAGCCCAGGATGGCAAGACTCAGACTGAAATTGTGAAAAATATAGTTACACATAAGACTTGGGTGCTACTGGCCCCGTAACTTTACCCCAGGGAAGTGATTCAGAATGTGTACAGTGGTTAAGCAAACCTATTGTTGTGATCCCTTCATTCACAATCACAAATAAACACAGCTACATCACGCAGGGTTGAATGATTGATATTTGACCTTTGTGTGGGGTAAGAACTCAGAAGGCAGTTTTCACTGAAGARGAATCTGTTTCCTGTGAGACACAGGGAATCCTTACCTAGTCGAACTCTTTGGGCCAGCTTTTTGCACCTGGTATGAAAGCAGAGTTTAATCTCTGCACCTATAAAAATAGTACTATCAACTGCAATAGCCAGATTTAAGACGTTGATTCTTTGCTTTGAAAAACAACCTCATATGCAAGCCAGGATTTTCCATTATATTGCTGGGAGAGTAGATGACAAAGAGTATGGAGAAACAGTCTCTTTACCAGGACTGGACCAAGTCTCTGTTCATAYTTTCTCTGGCTAAGTCAAGAATGGGAAGAGGAGAAATCACTTCCGTTTTCTCAAAACTGTAGAAGGGATTGCTGCAGTAAAATGAGAAGTATTTGGAATCCGCAAAATACTCTAATTTCTAACAGGTAAGGAAAAGGGGTTTTAGCTATGCAAAGCCTTTGTCTACAGCAGCTGCTATTTACCAGGATCTGAGAGTTGGGTCTCCAGTAAGCTGGGGCAATCTGGTCTGTCAGCCAGGAGGTCACAGCTTTTGTGGGTCCCAGGCTAAGTTCCGACACTGACTGAGCCATGAAATTCATGCCATCCAATAAACGCTGGGCTGCATTGTTGTTGTCTTTCAGAAAACCATCAGTCTGCAATCAAACAGATCCTCATTTGAGAATAAAAGGAGAGAAATCTTTTTTTTTTATGCAGATGGCTCTGCAACTCATTACTCCTGTTAAACTGGAGGGCAAGAAGGAGAAAAAGATTCACCAGCCTTGCTTTGAAAGACAGGGGTAGATTCATCAACATAAAGTGTTCATAAACTAGCAACCTAACCATTTCAAGACAGCCAAAAGAWGTCTGATGGCCCTCACAAGGGCTCTTTCAAACAGCAGGGATCAGCTTAATGAAAGGCAATCTATTTTCTTCATCAACATCCAGAAGAACCAAATTAACGTGTACAGCAAAGACTATGCAGCACCCAGACTTACCCCTGGCCAGACATGCTCAATTTCTGTCCTCACTACRGTGTTCACAGGATCTTGGTTGCCAAACCAGTACTGCCGGCTGCGATACACCACCCCGCAGTTGGGGCACTCGATCACGTATCTGCACGAGAGGAGGACASGTTACCCTCTGGCAAGTCCTGTGCAGAGCAGAGAGCACAGACACCAGMGACATCTCAGCTGCAGTACTCACCCTGACCAGGCATACTTGGCAAGGCCCAGCCAAGGAGAATCCGTGGAAGCAGAGGTTTTTGGCACCACGCTGACCTCCATCCCTCGCTCATAACAGGCCTACAGCATAAAGGTTCAATCAAAATGACATTCTYGGGAATCCAAATCTACGTCTGCCTGCTGTTTGGCTACCTAAAGCATATGACTAACATATAACAGAGGTCTCCACAGCAAAGGAGCACTCATTAGAACTCATTTATAAACAAAGCAAAACCAAAGCAAAAACAAACCCACTAYCAATAATGACATCAGGGAAGTATTTCTACATCAATAAAGACCATGATGGTAGCCAAAAATTTTCATGTCTCCTGCATACATCCTTCAGAAAAAATGGTATAAGCAAGTAAGAAGAGTAACAATGTCAAATATGTAGAACGTCAGTATTACCCAGGTTAAGAGCAGCCAGTTTCACAATTTAGCTAGAAAATGACACATAGGACACAGAAATAATGAACTGACCAAGCAAACATACAAGTCAAATAAGGATCAATTTTTCTTGTCAAGGCCATGAGCAACACTGACATTTAAAAAAAAKAAAAAAATAAAAAAGAAGAAAAAGAAGAAGAAAACAGGCAAATGCCCATGATATTCCTGATTTTACTGGGTCATCCTGCCCTCATTCCTCAGACCTTTTCYTTGTATTGCTACTCACCTTGCAAGTGTAGACTCTGTTATCATACTGGTGAGAATATCTGCATCGACTTTTGGATTCATGAGGAACTCCTTCCTTTGCATGGTTCATGCTCTTCTTACAGCCACATCTGAGTATGCAAAAGCAAACCATAAGCTGTTGCTGTTAGACACAGTACAGAAATCACCAAGATTTCATTTCTATTACTATCTTGCATTTGTGCAGATGTTGTGTACTCAAACCATTTTCACAAGGGTACATACAGCAATAACATAATTTATTATTGAAAGGCAGTCTCCTCAGGAGGAGATGTAGCAACTGTTTCACATATAAAGCAGCACCACACAACAGTTCACTGCAGAAAATGCTCACTGTGCCCAATTTCAGTTTCACAAAGCATTTTAGGAAGGACTAGACAAGCCTGAAAATTGACCAGAGCAGAGTTAACACTGCAGCCTTTGCAATGAATTGCTGGAAATTCTCTAATGAATAAAAGAGACCAGAAATGCAGCACTTGATACATTTGAGAGAAAATTTTTCCAGAAGCATAACCAGCACAACATGACACTGCTATAGAGCTCCCAGACTTAGAGCACTGACTGCCATCTACTGCCCTTCTGGCTCATCTCTGGGCTCTTTCCAGAGAGCTACAAGCCAAGATCTAATCAAATATGGAGGTCCACTTAGACCTAGTCACTGAATACAGCCCCACTCGATAATGCATGCTTTAGGATTATTTATACTGTTTAGGCAATAAAAATGTCAGGAAAAAAACACTGTAGGAAATTTCAGGAAATCTATTTAGACACTCCTTTCTTCCAGCCCTGCTTGCATTTGGGAAAAGATATGGGCAGCCCAGGTAGGCAGCCATGCACAAAAATAGGGAGCGCAACAACCATGCATCCAGCTGGGATGTGGCAATTCACCTAAGAGTTGCATTTCAAGCAAATTCTGCCTGGAAGTACTAGCTGAGGATAGGTGTCAAGACATCACAGAAACTTTATGTGGCTGCAGGTCAGCGCAGCACTATCCTCTAAAAGAAGCATTTTTCTACTTACCCACAGCTGAGGCACACAGAGGAGCACGTGAAATATTCATCTGGAAAGAAAGAGCTGTGAGCCATCTGGTCATCAGGGATCTCCCCACTGAATCGGTCACTTAGAGCCTGTTAAACAAAACAGAGTGAACTGGAAAGGGATTGAGGGCAATAAAGCCATTTTGCAAGCAAAAGAATGGATTACTCTACTGGAGGAAGAGACAAAGAGAGTACACAGCAAACAAATAGCGTCTTATAGCCTGGAAACCAAAACAAGCATTGGAAACCAATCAAGAAGGCAATCTTGCATTTGTATGGAAGTGACCTAATACTTGTACTCTTTTCCTGTCCTCTCCTCCTGTCCATACTTCAAATTTTGTAGTAGAAATGGATGGTAGAAGACTGCATCCACCTCTGTGGATCCAATCCATGCTCAAAATAGCAGGATTCTTGCTAAAAGGGCTTTGTATTCTGGAAAGAAAACTCAGAGGATCATTTCTTATAGTACAATGAGGACACGTTCTTTGCCTCTCAGCTCAGAAAGTGCTGCCCTGAGCTTTCCTCCAGCCACTTGAACAACTGCTCTTCTTTGGTGAAATGGAAAAACTGAGACAAAGGGATTTGTACCCTTTCCTAGGAACATCCATTCTCAGAYTAAATAAGGCTTTAGCCTTGGCGCACTTAACTTTTTCAGTTCTTTCAGGTGTTATGTTCGGGGGAAAAAAGGCAATGGAACAAAGCAAATGGTTAGAGCTTTTCTTGATGGAGATCTCTAAAGGCATGAGATCTAGCTAAAGCTCTTCCTGCAGTTGAGGTTAATACAGTGGCTGCCTGCCTTTCTCTTCTTCCCTCTTCCCTCACAGTGTTTGGGTGGTGCTGTGGGTGCACCTTTGCTGTCTAACAACGGTTGCTGGCACATACACACAGACGTGTATCTCTCTCATCACAGCTTCCTCAGGTAAGTTCTCTAATAGAGAACATAATTTAAACATAATTTCAAGGAAATTTGCTTTACATTCTCTTTGAAGCTTGACTGATACTGGTCAATGAATTCAAAAGCTAGAGCAAGTGGACATAGATCTCTAGCACTGTGTCCTCGGTAGTGAAGCAAAAAAAGTTAATTTGTAGTCAATAGTGATCTGAACAGTTTGCTGAACACAGCAAACACTCTACTGGACATGAATTTAAGAATACCAGCAGCTAAAGATGAAACCAGGTTACTTGATTATTGCAATGAAATTAAACTAAAATTAACCACTTCAGCTGTTTTTCTCCTTGCTGCCTGTCTGCTTCCTAATGCAAAGAATTGTGTACATACCACCCTGACCCTTCCCTCTGTGCTTTAGCTACCACTAATGCAGAGCAGCCASAATTATCTGTTCCAACAGCTGTGACTAATGCCAGAAAAGACTTCTAATTCTACCTTCTTCTTCAGATATGCCTCAGCTCTGTCTGCCCCTCCCCAATGACAGCTGTGCTCTTCAGGCCAAAGAAAACATGATGGTAATCAGGTAATGRTATTTGGAAACTTGTAGGAAAGACTGCAAATTTAAAAACCAGAAATCCCTCTGACATCCTAGCAAAGTGGACCATCTAAGAAAATCACTTGCTCTAAAATAATATATCATTTGGCTTGTTCCCTAGCTACCAGMACAAGCCCTTCCTCCTTTTTGCCTTCTAGCCCTTGGGTTACACTACTCAGTGCTAGGTTTTGCCAACTATTAACTCCCTCCAAGTCGCTTGCATTTTATCCTCTTGTGCTGAGGCCATCTTTAGGAATTTCATAAAAAATGCCTTCTGAGGTCTCTCTTTGTAAATCACTGTCATTAAGTGCTTGCCACTTGCAGCATCAGTTACTTTTTYCTTCACAGCTCAGCAATTTTTGTTCAGTTTAGCTCTTCGGCTTTTCTTGACCTTCCATGGTCTTCACTAAGGTATTTGTTTTGAAGTTAAAAAAGCTACCCAGCCTCCCAGGGTGTTACACAAAATTATCACTTTCATGGAAGACTTGCTTGTAAGTCTGCATCACTGGTTCAGGTGCTCTACTTTTATGAGCTGCAGCTGAGTTACCAGCAACAGTGGTACAAATAAAGATTGTGACAAACTCTTCTCCACTTACTTTTAGTGCTTTGTAGATAACCCCAGGCTGTCTAGGTGACCGAGTAGTGTTGTTCTCCAGCTGCTGCTCCACAGCTCGCCTAAGCCCAGAGAAATCTGTTGGAGGATTGTATGTCCTTGTTCCCTTGTAGTGAATTGAGCTGAAAGCCTCAGGAAAACAGCTCAGCTTCCGAAACCGATCCTGAATGAGCTTCTCAGGAACCTCAGAAGGATGATCTATATTTAAGAGTATCAGCAAGTTCATAAATAACTGATTATTTAAAACAATAATTCCATTGCACAGTACTTTCATATGCAATATACTCTTAGTTTTCTTAATTAAGTCCTCTAACACATGTGGAATGCAGTTATTGTTGTATTTTAAAACAAAGAAAAGAAACAAACTTCCAAAAGCAGTCTCTGTTTTGTGATACACAGCTTTAGATTCTAAGACCAAGTTGCTCAGGTAAAACCAGACATATCTAGATTTTGAAACACAGATATCYAGATTAAGGAGCAAGCTAGGACACAATACAAGGAAATACCATGTCAGCACAATTATTAGTTCTTCTCACCAGACCATAACTTGATATAGCTAGTCCTAGCACCTGATAAGTGGAGGACATGAATTTTACAGGGGTTGCCTGTTCTCCATGCCAACCCTGTAGCAAGGAAGACAAAGCTTTTATCAACCATTTGTACATGGCAAAGCGCTTGAGAACTGACCACATCAGGTCAGACTCCACAGAGCCAACCACAATCTCCTGCCTGCTTCCAAGTACCCTCTGTACACTTCAGAATAAGGCAGGTCCCTTCTTCCCTGTCCTAAAACTACATAAGCACATTTATCTCAATTATCCATTGAGAGAGATGGTTACAGCTTTCTGCATATCCACATGCCAAGAGGTTTCTTTCCTATTCCTACCATGATAAGAAGTGACCAAAACTTTCTTTTTATGACCCTGACTTTGCATACCAATGTAAAATGTCCTCATGTGTCACTAAAGGCTGAACTAATAAAACAGCAAATGTCAACAACTATATGAAATGCTGAACTGCTAATCAGCAAATTGGTATATAAGAAAAGGAACTGCCTTGCAGGTAAGTTAAAAGTTATGAAGAAGTTACTCTAATAATAACCAGAAAGACTGTCAAGTTATTCTACTAGCTTAAAATGTCACTGGTTAAAAAAAGCCAAAATAAGAATGTGGGTCAGCCAGGACTGCTASGGTATTTATTACACAAGAGACGACTCCTAGATGTTCATAAACAGCAACACTGAGCCTCAGTCACTGGAGGCCAATTCATTATGGCTCTTTGTTATCAAAACACAAGAAAGGGATCAAATTAAGAAAGGTTTCATCACGCCTTTTGAAATACGCAAAAAATAAGAAGAAACTTAGATCTCTGTAGGACAGAGCATTTCACTCAGATATACAAATAAAATACACCATTTACATACGCATAATCCAGTATTACATAAGCCAAATTAAAAGTACTGATGAACAACACTGAAAGTGGTGGGAATAAACGTGTGCAGGTCTGCTCCTTTGGTCATATCAGATACTTGCACAGAGAAACAAGGCATCAAGTCATCAGCTCTGTGCCACCACAACCTCAGTCCCAAACTCCCAGAAGCCTCAGAATGACTTTGGTCCACAAAATTTTAAAAACTAGAGTTGTGTTCATGAATGTCGTAATTTTTGCTCCTCCTAGTTTCTACACAGAATCTTCTTGGGTTTTTTTTGCAACAGGATTCTATCTATCCCTGCCAAAATCCCACGATGTCTCAGTTGTGTTGGGTTTGCGTGGCCAGGTTTTGGTAGCTGGGGGGGCTACAGGGGTGATTTCTGTGAGATGCTGCTAGAAGCTTCCCCCATGTCTGGCAGAGCCAATGACAGCTGACTCCAGGATGGACATGTCGCTGCTCAAGGTCAAGCCCATCAGGAATTATAGCAATGCCTCTATGACTACATATTTAAGAAGGGGAAAAAAAAAAGACGTGCAGATGTCATTGTGGCCAGAGATGCATGGGGGTGGGAATACATGAGAGGAACACTGAGGTAACTGGAGAAGGAGGGGGAGGAGGTGCTCCAGGCATTGAAGCTGAGGTTACCCTGCAGACCATAATGCAGACCACGGTGAAGCCCATGCAGCCCATGGAGGAGCCTACACCAGAGCAGACAGATGTCTGAAACAGGGCCAAGAATCTGTAGCAAGCCTGTGCTGGAGCAGGTTCCTGGTAGGGACCTGCAGACCCAGGAAGAGAGGGTTTCCTWGCAGGACTTGTGACACCCCAGGGGATCCACATTGGAGCAGGCTGTGCCTGGAAAGGCTGCACTCCATGGAAGAGTGACCCATATTGCAGCAGTTTGTGGAGAACTGTTGCTTGTAGGATAGACTCACACTGGAGAAATTCATAGAGAACTGTCTCCTGTGGGAGGGATCCCACACTGGAGCAGGGGAAGGACTCCTCTCCCTGAGGAGCAACAGGAACAATGTGTGAGGAACTGACCATAACTGCTGTCCTCTGTCTCCCTGTGTGGTTGGTAAGGTAGGATGTAGAGCTGGGAAGCAGGGAGGTCTGAGGGAAAGGTGTTTTTTAAGATTTCTTTTACTTCTCAATATGCTGCCCTGATTTTGACAGTAATAAATTCAATTAATATCCTCAAGTCAAGTCAGTTTTACCCGTGATCATATTTGTTAAGTGTTCTCTCCCAGACTTTATCTCAACAATGAAACTTTCATTATATTTTTTCCCTCCTGTCCACTTGTGAAGGGGAATGATAGAGCAGCTTTGGTAGGTGCCTGGCATTCAGCTAGGGTCAATTCACCACATCAGTTTTCACTTTTGTCTGCCATATCATCCATACTCATGAACTTGTATGATGATCCCTCCCATGGCAGGAAAAACTCATGACTATTCAGTGCTGATGTCCAGCTGGCTAAGAGGATTATTCAAGCTGATTTGGAATAGTCAGATCACCATGAGRGAATGCTCATCTAGGTCCACAGCCTGGTTTCCTGACTGGAACCAGTGCAAGCAAAACCCAAATCACATTTTCACATGGTAGTAAAGAATGCCGATTATTCAATGCAATCTGATAATTTAGAGACAGTGTTTAGCACATCGTAATACAGTTTCTTACTGCCTACTTACCAGAGCCCAGCAGTTTGGTGTACACAGTCTCATGAAAGATGATGACACCGGGACCCAAAGTTGACAGAGGAACATCTAGGCCACAGCGGGCTGTGGTAGCTTTTAGTTCCTTGGTGAAGTGTTTTAAATAAGCCTCCGAGGCATCACCAAGGAATTTGAAGAGGTCGTTGTGGAGCCTGTCAGCACGAGTACGGTAGATGACAAGGTCAGAGATGGCCAGGACCTTGAGCAGCAGCCGTGTTCTCTGGCTCAGGTTCACAGTGGCCCCCAGGAGGCCCTCTGTATCAATTACCACCACTTTGCGGACAGGGTCATAGGCTGCCCAGACTCCAACTGTGCAAGACTCTTGGGCAGGAGAYGTCTTGAAGACTTCCCGGCCATAGAAGAAGGTGTGGTTAAGGGTGTGAGACTTGCCATCCCCTGTGTTCCCAAAGATGGACACCACCTTTAGATGCTGGTCAGGACTGCAGTCCAGTTTCTTAATAAAGTCTTCTTCATCCCTTACCTTCCAAAACAAAAAGAGGAAAATATTATAACTATGCAATTGGAGTAAATAACACTGAAAACACAGGTGGTTTCAGGATTCATAAGATTAAAAAGAGGGATTACCTCCTCTTCAGATTTCCTAAGTTTCTGAAGCACCACAAAGTGGTGCAAAATACTAGAATGCAATTTTGTAAAATGTACACATTGATGGGATTTATGTTTCATCAAGTAGCTATTTTGGAAGTGATGCCGCACACAACTCTCGTGTACCTCATCCCATTCTCTGAGGCAGCTCTTTCAGAGAAGGGAGCACAACACTACTTCCAAGTCTGACAGAACAGCTACCTGGAGCATGGCAGACTTTCTCAGTAGCATTGGTCTCCTGGCCAGCATCCAAATTCAGATGTGAAAGAGGGGATTGCTTTTGCCAGTTTAATTTGCCTCATCCAAAGAGGCCGAGCACCTGTTTAGGTAGAAAAATCTCTGCCATACTGTTYTGCTGCATCTACCACAGCCAAAGGCTCTCAGACACAGACTGTCCTGATCCCACTATTCTCCAGCTGATCAATCCTTCAGCTGGAAAGGCGGGGGCAGAGAAGAAGTAGCAAAGTTGTGCACTGGAGTCAGGTGCTCGAAGCAGGTCAAATTGGCTCTCACAGAAGTGTCACAACTACCTCAATGACTCATTTCATAATTTACTGTATTGTACTTTCACTAAAAAAAAAAAAAGAACACATACATACAGAACCAAAAKGGAGTGCAGGTAACTTATCTTTGGTTTTGCATAGTTTAAGTGTCAAGCATCATGCTATCTAGGCTAAGGAACAGGACATTTTTTGTACAGATACTAGAGCAACATGAGCAGATAAACAAGCAATGAAATGGGCTAGGGCTCTGTACAAGAGCCTGCCTTGATTTTATTACAGAATACATCCTTGGCTTTCACAGGTTTCATGCTTCTGGCTACATTTGTTTAGTCCTTGCTTTTTCTTCTTCTGACAGGTTTTATCCATTTATATGAYGGGGAAGAATATGACAGAAGCACTTTTTGAGAATGATTAAAGTCACTTTTTTCATCCCAATTCCCTCTTCAAGGAATCCCCATCAACTGAAAGGAGCAGGGCTTCCATCCCTTTTCACCTGCCTCTCAGCTTCTAGAAGCTCTTAGCTATTTCCCTCCTGCAAGTACAGTTGGAAGATCTCACAATCTATGATCCAGAGAGACCAGTAGGTTATAAATTGTTTCTTTTAACAAGTTTATTCTTAGATCAACAAATTAGTTAAGGCTCAGCCAGCCCCATTTGCTTTGCTTAAATCTATCAGCAGCATCTAGGCTTTGAAGGAAAATAAAAACCAGTCAGTGTGCTAAAAACATAAAAAATAGCGAGTATGCCAGACTGTRGTTGGGAACAGCGTTCACAAAGAAAAACTGTGGGTTGTGGGCTTGCAGTAGCTTCTCACAGACTGAAACTATTCAAGGCAGACTCAAAGTGTAGAAGAAACCATGAAACAAAAGACATAAAAATGCTCTCAAGCTTTCYTGGTGTCTGTGGAAGAACATCTAGATACACTCAAGTTACAGGTGCACAAGGAAKGGTAGCTGTGATTATTAGGTTATCATCAGGAATGTAGTTTAGAAGATAGATGCAATTTTGCTTAGTGTCTCTCAAGATGCCTCTGCAGACAAAASAAGTTCTTGGTTCATGGAATAGCTCCAAAAAACATTCACAGATTTGACAATATGAAAATGTTATGTGTAGGTAAGCAAAAATGTCTTCTTTGAAATGTTTGGTTTTGTTTGGTTTTAACTCCAAATGTCCCACCAAAAAGGTGAGAGATCCTTTTTGCCAGTCAATGGCTATGTACTCCCCAAACAACACAAAAGACCATCAGTTTTCAAACAGCTGCTTAAGTATTGGCAAGACAGCTAATGATTAAGGTCTTTTAGCCAGCACTAGTTATTACTTTGCTAGCAGTTGGGAAGAGTTTGTGGAAGAGGCTGAGCCAGTAATGTCAGAAGACACAAAGGACAGTAGAGACCAAGGGATAACAGTAACTCTGAGATATATTCCCACCATTAAGAGACAGAAGTCAACTCAAAATTACATTGAATATCAAATCACACACCCAAAGTTACTCCCTTCTAAGTCATCCCCTTCTAAGGTTCTAGGCTCTTACAGACTTCCTTTCAGGACAGAACTTGGGAGTGATTTAGACAAGCAAGTTACCCAGCAGCACAAGAATGCACTAAAGTCTAGCTAGTCCAATGTTRTGTTTCACAGGACTTGGTAATGAATGAGGAAGAACCGAAGACATGAAATGAGTTAATATTTTCTAGCACGCTTTACCAGTGCTCAGACGTCACATGACCAAGAACTTCCTGAGCAGTGGTTGCACTTAGATGCTCTCGGTTGGTAAAGAACCAGTAGACCTATTCTCCCTTTTAGAACCTAGTTGTAATTTTGGATCCTGCAACATCCTTACAATGAATTCCCTGTGGGGGGAGAAGCAACAAAACCAAAAAACAAGCCAAAACAACCAAAAGAACCCCTTTCCTTTGAAGTTGGATATGTTTGTACATCAYTGGGTCCTTCTTGCTCTTGTGCACTAGTTGTCTTTAACCAATGCTGAGCACAGGACTGACGCTCTCAAAGAACCATCCACAACAATCCCCATATCAGTAGTCAAATTTACTTCCCTTGAGCAAGTTCCTTTAACACATTTGAAGTCAGAGGGGTGTAATACGTGCCAAAGTACTAATCCCCATTGGGCTTATCAACTCCCACTTCTTTGTTTTGCTCCTCATCTCAAAAGAAATTGGTATRGTACCACCTTCTGTTGTATGTGCAAAGAGCTCACATTTCCATAAGTGTGTCTACTTCCATATTGCCCAAGAGCTCCAGATCTCTGACGTTAACAGCAGAGAGTACATACGAAACCTTCCTTAAATTGCACAACAATTAAGAATGAAAATTAAGAATGAAAACTATATGTCTAACCAAAGACAAGAGTCATATCTCTTCAGGCCCTTCTTGATTTTACTATCAGAGACTCATTTACACTTTTGTTATAGCCCTAAGGAAACTCTTCTAAAAGGAACAGTTTTTAATCCATCAAACGCTGGAAATCCTGGTTAGCTTTCTTTTMTAGTTTTAACTATGCTGCTTTTAGCAGCTGTGAGTCAAACATCTCCCCATGGAGTCCCTTCGCCCAAGTTCAGCTGAACGGGAGGAGAAGTTCTTCAATCAGATAAAGCAGAGAACCTGGCAACTAAAGTCCTCTATAAGGAGGGCACGAAGACTCATACCATGCTGTGGTGGAGCACATTTATAACTGAATCCTCTTTACCACCTGTCCTTGGAAATCTCTTATACCTAACATAGCAAGTTTTCAAAATGTGAGCCCAAATAAAAGTAGAATTGTTTAGAAACAGAACTGCAAAAATGAAACAAGAACTGCTAAACAAGAGAACTCAAGAAACAAGAACAGCTAAAATTACATTCCTGTCTATAAAATTTTTGGTAACAATGTTATTAAAAGAAAAAAAAATGTTTAAAAGCCTAGGAAYAGAAATCTATAAAATAGAATGGAGTTTCTAATGACCTGTACTCATATAACTTTAAATCTGCCTCCAGCAAAACAAACACATCAAGAGAATCAGACATTTTAATCACAGTTTTCTCCTTTTAMGACTATTCATGAACCCATTGGGGCTTGCTAATATTCATGGAAGTGGTGCACAAAGCCAGAGCTGTGCTACTAYACACAATAGCTCAAAACAGAAATCAAGAATGCTTGGCATAGTCATCAGAGCGCCTTTATTTGCTAGTCTTACACTGTCATTTTGACTTACGTTGGTACTTCTGTTGTGTTTTGAAATCGTAGTCATTATATGACCCAATTTTAAAAGAGTATTTTTAATAACTAAAATATATTTTCTGCAATCAAGAAAGAGATCATCATATAAATAACTAAATTTCTGAGAAAAGGGTTATCAGGCATGGGAACAGGCAACCCAGGGAAGTGGTGGAGTTACCACCCTTGAAGATATTTAAAAACGTGTAGATGATGTGCTTAGGGATATGGTTTAGTGGTTGACTTGGCAGTGCTGAGTTAACTACTAGACTTGATGATCTCAAAGTTCTTTTCCAACTTAAATGAGTCTATGATTAGACAACCAGCACACAACAGTATCTTCTGACACACAACCACTAAGGCAATAAGAAGGATATAAACTTAACACCCTTCTCAATTAATGGAAATATAAGCTACAAGATTTGTAACAGCACATCCAAATGTATACCAGCATAAAATTACAAACATCYGAGACAAATCGCAATTTGTCAAATTGGTCAAAACTATCAAGTAGAAAAAATTAAATATTTACCTTAAAGCATTACTTAACACTGGCAATACAAGTAATGCTACTCACAGTTCAGAAAATATTTAAGGAAGATAATGCTTACAAGAATTCAAACTAACACCTTAAATMAGAAGAAGATATGGCAAAGCAAGCTAAAAGAAAATCTGCACCTTTTAAGCAGTTCCTGAACTTCTAAACAAAATTGAGACAATATTAGGCAATTGATCTTAAGGACAGAGTATCATATGAATCATTAAACCTGGAAACAGAAGAGATCTGCCCAGCTCACTAGACCAGTTCTTTAATACGCTTCTTGTAAATCTGTGTTTTAACCCTAAAAGACTGAGCTCCTATCCAGAGGTAGATTCACACAAAAGTCTTTAGCTGTATGTCTAAAGCCCCAAAGTCCGACCTTTAGGTCATTAAATCAGAATTTTAGTGTACATTGAAAATAAGAGAGTATAAAGCAGATTTCTTCCTTTAACTACAGCCAGTAAGACTACGCTGAGAAGAATAAGCTCTACCACACTACAGTGGCACCACCAAAATTGGCATCTCTGCAGGGGACCTCACAATCACTCCTGTAAAGGCAGCGCACAAACGCAAAGAAGTGTATCTGGCTTCCCCAGCAAATCAAGTGCAACAGGCTGTCAAAA